GGAAAGTATTCACAGAGCTTCACTCTTTCCACATTTTGTTATGTTATTTGCCTCGCTTCAAATTGGATTAAATCAGCTTCTTTCCTCAAAATTCCACACACAAATACCGCATTACCACAGTGTGGATTTTTGTTTTTAGCGCTTTACAAAATTATGTGTACGCAAATATAAATCACATTAACACAAATGTTTTGCAGTCTTTGCTTAGTACTTTATTGATGAAGCTCAAAATTGAGCCATTTCCTCTGATCTTCCCGGAGATGTTTCTACAACTTGAAAGGAGCCCTGCGGTAAACTAGGTTGTTTGGAGTTGATTTGGAAAAGGCACACGCCTGTCTATAGAAGTTCCCACAATTGACAGCGTAGGTCAGAGGTCAAACACCACAAATGAAATCAAATTAATTGTCTGTAAATGTCTGAGACGGGATTGTCCCGAGGAACAAATCTGGGGAAAGATCCAGAAACATTTCTGCTGCTTCAAGGTCGCAGTGAGCTCAGCGGCCTCCATCATCGGTTTGGACTCTTTGGCAGTCTAAACTGGTTCCAATTTATCCTGGCCATGAAAATTTCTGCAGAATACATGGTGCCTGCAGTCTAATGCTCACACACATAACAAGAGAGCTGAAGCTGAAACGGTTTGACTGCCTGTCTGTTCCAGGGTTAAACTAGTGTTGGTTTTCAAACTTTGCCAGGGCTTTACTTCCCTTTAACTCTCTTTAAGTAGTCATTAAAGTTTTTTCTCTCTTTTATTTTTCATCTGATGTCTCTACCTAAAACATTCCCTGAGAGGAACCTGTTGGGTCATAACCAGCTGTTCAATCCCAAGAAAAATACAGTGAATGTCAACGTTGAGGAACATTCTACAATGAGAATAACAAAAATAGGATTTTTCCTAGCATCTAATTTCATCTGAAGCTTGTGGTTAAGAAAGGCCAGAATGTGCCTTGATCTGTCAAGAAATAACAAAAATATAACAAATGAGGTCCATTTTAATATCTACAATTGGCTTGCAAAAGTACTCACACCCCTTGGACTTCTCCAAATTTTGCTACATCACAAATATAAAAACATAAAAGCACACATTTTATTGGAATTTGTTTGTTGTATAGCACAAAGCGATAAACTATTGTGAAGTAGAAGGAAAATCAAACACAATTCAAAACATTCTCTTCAAATAATAACTGAATAGTGTGGCGTGCATAAGTATTCAGCACTATTAGTATTTGTCTGAGTGCAACCAGTTGCCTTCAGAAGTATATATATATATATTTATAGATAAATATGTGTGTGTGTGGGTGTGTGTGTGTGTGTGTGTGTGTGTGCGTGCGTGCGTGTGTGTGTGTGTGTGTGTGTGTGTGTGTGTGTGTGTGTGTGTGTGTGTGTGTGTGTGTGTGTGTGTGTGTGTGTGTGTGTGTACATTATATATCCATTGTGTTTACCTGCTTTGTCAACATGGCCACATAGCTGGAGTGAATTGAAACAGTCTCCTGATTTTCCGGACATTCCACAGAAGTAAGTAGAGAAAATCCAGCAGCTTGCAAAATCTGGGCTACATTGATCCATGAGGCCGCAGCGCTGCACAGAGAGATTTGTAGAACAAGCACAAAATGAAATCATTGCACCCAGACAACTGCTGTACGTGAGCAGTCGACGAAGGAGCTTTGTTTCACAATTAAGACAGCAGTCATTCAGGAAACAAGTAAGTGCTAATCCGATTTCCTCCCTGCAGCCAAAGCAACTTTCAATGAAAAAAAATAATAAATCTGTCATGCTCTGAAAAAGTATTTTATTGCTTTCAAATACTCTTCATATCACATATAGATAACCAGCAAAAAGAAAACATTTTTGCTGGTAAAGATGACTTTTCGTATTGAGGGATAAAGCTTTGCAAGTCAACCTGATCCTAAGTGAAAAAGTAATTACCCCTTGAGTGGCAGGAATAACTGTCTTCAGGCTTTTACTAATGAGTCTGTTACATCACTGCTGAGGAATGTTTCAGCCCCGTGTTCTGGACAGAAAGGTTTTAAATCAGCCACACCAGAAAATGCTGCAAAGCTTTCTAATTGAATTTAAGACCTGACTTTGATTTCAAAACCAATCAAACCTTAATTGATTGACTTATTGATGCTATTTGTGGGTGGACTCACTGTTGTGATTTGATTCATGTTTTGTGCTAATCTTACAGAATGTTGGCCCAACAATAACTGTGTTTCCATCGACCTTATAACTGAGCAATTTGACATTTAGAAAATTGCTTAACAGAGAATTTGCTATTTTGAATATATATTATTTTAACTACAAAAACACTCAGTGCTAGGATGAGGTACATATCAAAATTGGTTTATTTTGCAAAACTGCAATGGAATTTCCTTTTTGCATCACAATTGGATGTTACCACTGGGGCAAACCATGAAGAAGAAGACAACAGGAAGTAGTTGTCAGATGAAGGCGGGGCAGGGTTATTAATGACATGTGATTTCAATTGCTTTTCTTATTTCATAGAAAATGCAAAATTTTGTTTTTTTCTTTACATTGACAAATGTTGAAAAAACATAATTTAACTGCACAATTCATCTGTTAATACTTTGTATTAAAAATAAAAATGACACTTCATGACAACAGTTATAAACATTCATGAAAACATACATGTCAGTCTTATGCACACACAGTCAAAGTGTTAACTGAATTCCTCTTGGATTTGTCTTTACATATTCATGATCTCACTTCATCTTGCAAAGACTCAGTATAGATGATTTTATAGGGTATTACATTTTCATACAAAACTGGATTGGATAAAATGTTTTGTTTTTCACCCTTAATTAATGAAATCACCATTTAAGAACTTTTTTTTTTTTTCTTTTGCTTTTTATATTTGGTCATGTTAGTATTGTCTGATTCATCTGTGTGGCAAAAACAGCATAAATGTGTATACTGTAAATCACCGGTATTTGAAAGACTATAAAATCATCAGTAACACCTCGACTTAATGCAACAGGCTGATCTCTGATGAGCTCCGAACAGGCACATAGGCAGAGATGCTTGCTGGATATGCTCGCTTATTTATTACAAATTCTAAATAAATATCTTCGGGCATTTCAATTTAGCTGGAGCAAAAATGTTTTGCAACTTGACTTTTGTTTACTGTCACTGTGTACAGTGAAGCAAACAACATAATCATAGACTGTGTTCATGCCAATGAAGGAACAACCAACTGATTTACATTGACACCCTAAAGCTAGACCATTATTTTCTGCTTCCCACATACATGGGTCCAATTCTCTGAAGTTGAATAAACTATTTGTAGCCGTCAGTGAGCTTCTGGCATAATTCTGGCTGGATGTTTGGCTGCTGTGCTTGCCAAAGCTGTTAGAGTTCCTTTAAATTGATTGGTTACGGCAGGATTGTCCAAAGATTGTCAGTAAGGCCAAGGCTATGGGAAGGTCATTATGGAATAAAAATGTCAGCCAGCATCATCTAGTCCAAGAAACATTTCAGGGTGCGTTCTTCTGAAAGTGACAGTTTGGGTCTGCTTCCAGACCTTGGCACAGTGGATGACCGTCCAGATAAGTTGCACTGACATGTAAAGGTCTTAGATCTTGGAATCTGCAGTTCTTTGGAAGGATTAGAGGATTAGATCAGATTCCCAATTTATGTGAATCTGAAAATTTCCAAAGGTCTTCACTGAGGTCTTTGAACTTCAGTCAAATGAGCACTCAATACGTATTTTCTAAGTCGGAAAAGCAAAACTATCAGCTTATTAATGTGAAGTTCAATGAATTTACCCTTGTTAAGAGAAAATCTTGAACTTTTGAACCACTTTTTTAAAGATTTAGCTGAATATGTGTACACTGACCAGTCTTCACTCGCCAGTGAATCATACTCACTGCAGTATTAAACAAACATCTGTTAGCAACCGCTACAGAGTAAAAGAAAGTAAGTTTGGCTTGAGACAAAATTCCACTTTGTCTGCAACCTTGCTGCTACGACACCTGAATGCTCATATAAACTAATATGCATAAATAAACTAATACATACATTTATTATTGAATATAAAACACCATGATTGTGAAATTGAGTGTTTTCGACACACTTTCATAATGGAAGCATAGATATTGTTTCTTGTGCATCTCTGTGCAACATTGTTTCCTTCCTCTCAACTCTTCTTTCATAAGCTTTGCTCATGCACTCTTCTAAACTGCCTTACTAATGGCCACTTGTGACTTTATCTAACTGTAGAAGTTGTTGATGACTGTCCGCTGCACAACTGTCAGGTCAGCAGTTTTCCTCATGGCAGTGATGACCATAACATGCTCTCAACAGCATTTTCTTCCTTTTGATTTTAAACAGCTGTCATTTTTATTCTTTGGCATTTAATCGAGGTGTTGATGTTTTATTTTTCTCTTCTTATTATTAGTCTTGCCACATATATTTTATGTTATTATTTTTCTCTTTCTCTTTTCATCAACTCATTTGGTGCAGTTTTTAGAAGTGCTTTATAAAAAAATTTGACATTGCGTTCTCAATTCCTCAAGGTTTGTAAAAACAAAAACTTTGAAGTGCATAAATCTGTGTGCAGCAATGAAGCTTCACATCCTGAGTTGTACCTGCATTTGTGGAAAAACTCTTTGAACTTAAAGTTAGTTGTTCTCAGCATGGGAGCCTCACAGTTGGCCATTGGAGTCACGTGAACTTTCTGATGCTTCAGGCATCAGAAACCCTGTGACACACAGTTTGACTCATTAATACTCGGAATCCTTCATTGCGCACCATTCACTCTAATCGCGGCCATCTGGCTTGAGCGACCTCCAGCTCCCGATCACTTTAGCATCATTACATTTTCGCACCTGTAAAACAAACGACAAAAAAGGATTTGACATCGGCGTTGAGCAACCCTGTTCCTCCGTCTGTCATCTGTTTACACTGGCAGCCGGGAGAAGTGAAGGCGGCCCGTCATAGGGCGGCTCTTGCTGATTTTACGCATCATAAAGGCTGAACTTCCTCCCTCTGCTGAGCTGTTGCGTGCTGCTCGTCTCACTGTCCAGATCTATGTTGTAGCCTGGAAGGAGCGGGCTGTGTGTGCTTCACAGTACAACGAGCATACGGGGTGCAAAGGTTGAATTAGATTTATTATTATTATTATTTCGCCGTGGTCACTTTCTTCGGGGCTTTTTTTTTCTCCTCTGTTTGGATACCTCTGACTTAGGCATTGGATATGTGCACAAAGGATGATGAAAACCCCTTTCCTCATCGTAGAAGTAAAATAAAATAGGCTTTCGCGCACACTGGATTTACCTCTTGCCGTTCCATATGAAGAAGTCAAAAGTAAGTGGTTGATTTGTATTTTTTTCCATCATTATTTCTATTTTATTTGGGGGGAGTGTGTGGGGTTGCAAAAAGCTGCATGGAGGAAATAAGCAGTTCCAAGTTGTGAGGGATAAAAACGGGACGCGATCCGGTTGAAGGAATTCCGTTTTTCATTTGACACTTTTTGTTTCCCTCACCGGTTTTCTGAAACAGTTCAGTTCAAGCTGACTGGCTCACTGAGTGGACGGGATAAAGCCGAGGAGGGGATCGAACCGCCTCGGTTGACTTTAACAGACGTCCTGTCTGTCAGGCTACTGGGCTGTCATGCTGAGCCAAAGCGGCAAACCTGCCTTCTGCAAACCTCGTTTATTAAGCATGCAGACTAAACTCTCCTCCCGCTTAACTCGCAGAAAGAACGATCCCGGTCCGTTTGTTTGCGCCAGTCGGTCACTTCTAAGAACTGTTTGCGCTCCGGGTCGCCACCCTTCCCAAGAGCTCTGCTCCTGAATTCACGCGTCTGAAACACAATACGTTTGTTGAAGCGTGTTTTTTTTTTTTTTTTTTTTTTTTTTTTTTTTTTTTTTTTTTTTTTTTCCCAGTGCAAATTGATTCTACACCTATCCCGCTCCCCAGGTCAGAAACACAGGGAGGCAAAGACCTGAAACTAATACGCGTCAGTGGTTTCCCCTCCAGTCGCTTCTGTTTCCCGGGGGGTGGATGAGTTTTCCTGGCGACAGAAGCAGTGACACCTTCATGTTTGTGGCTGGACCCAAACATGCGCAAGTTTATTATTATTATTATTATTATTATTATTATTATTATTATTATTATTATTATTATTATTATGTCAAAGACATTTTCAGAAAAAAATAATAAATATGATCACTTTTTTCAAGTGCAGGCGAAGAAGACATTTAATTTTTAATTTGTATTTCTTTTCACGTTTTAGATTTATTATTATTATTTTTTTAAATGCGTAAACTTTCGGTCATCTGCGCCTGGTGACGATCTCAATATTACTGCAGTTTCAAAGTTCCCACTGGAAGTCAACTGAAATCAGAGAGCTGCCAGGCCGCGCGCTCTTAAATCCTGTGCGTATTTATTTATTTATTTATTTTTAAACCGTACTTTAAAGCACGTAGAGCTCGTCGCTGCAGCCAGAGAGTTGTGTACGTGTGAACGCAGAAAGGGGATGAGGGAAAGTGTTGTGAAGGCATCCCTGCTGTCGGTGTTACGTTCAGGCTCTCGCTTGATGATTTGCGTTGCGGGTTCGGGCGTTATCTGCGTGAGAGCGAACGGGACACCTTTCATCGTCCGGAATTTATGCGCCCATAAACGGCCGCGGCCCACGACCCGGCTGGAGAGACGATCAATCAACCTCAGCATAGATATTTACCAGAAAATGGAGCTTATAAGTCCAGTTTTTCATGGACTCCTGCTGCTCTCATGTCTGGATGGTTAATCTAAGTCGTGATATTTCTGGCCCCAGGTGTCTGGGCTGGACCTTCATACCTTCACAGAACATTTGGCACCAGAAGGGAGCGCTAGTTTCCCGACGCCTGTCGCCACACTGGGATTTTTTATTATTATTTTATGTTTTGGGGTTGTGAACGGTTTGCAAAGACATATCACGGCTGTGGGGCCCGGAGCCGCCAGTTTTCAGACGGGTGATTAAAAAAAAAAATCTGTCTCAGGAGTTTTATTATGTTGATGCGTGTGGAGGCATGGTGTGAATGAGAGATTGTGAATATGGCGCATGCAAATGCTACAATTTTAAAATAGTGAAAATTCCTAAAACCGTGTTTTAATAAAGTTGCACATAGATTCTCTTGTGGCCAGAAATACATTTCTCCTCATCCACTTTTTTTTTCCTGAAAAAAGAAAACCGTCATGTGTCTTCATTGCATATTTTCTTTTTAAAAATAAGTCAAATCACTTTCACCGTTTTGATTTCTGAGGAGAAAATGGAATTGCAGAAGCATGCATGGAACACTGAACTGCTTGCTTCTCTAGCGTCTGACATATTTCCTTCCCTTAGATTGTTTTTATTTTTTAAGAGCTGTATTTTTGTTTGTCAAAACAGACTTGACACATATTCAAACTACGTACGTTTCAGGATTTGGAAACAATGTAGAGTAAATTATGTTTTTCAGTTTACACAGGACATCTGAATTTGTGAACCAGACATTAATCTCTCAGTTCAGAGCGTTAATTGATCCGGTGACGCTTTTCAGTTTCATCCCTCTGCGTACTGAGGCTTTTTTGCTTTTATGTCAGTCTTCGTTCCCCCATCACTACGTGTTCTACAGCTCCCCACCAAACACATTGCAGAAAAAAATTTAATAAATTCGTACATCCTCATCGAACACTCAGCCTGTAACCAGCGGCGCTCCGCTCCCACGCAGGGCAACTCCTAACTCCAAACATCCTGTTTGCGTGAATCCAGCACATCTTTACTGTCCTCCAGCTTATGTTCTGTCATCAGATCATATTTTCAGATGAGGGGTCAGATAAGGTCAGCCTGATGCTGAGAAGAATATTTCACAAAACGAAACCATAACAGTAATCATCCTTAACTTATCACTGCTTTATGTTTTTAAGGAGCTTTTATTTTACAGCTCTTTTCATTTTGTTCAGTGTTGTTTTTTATGTCCACATTAACACCATGTGGCTTGATTTTACTGAAAGTGGCTCCATGAATCTTTGAATTTGTCTCGTGTGGATTTGTTTTGGGTCATCAGCGCCTCGTGACGAGGCGTTTTGTTCTTTGTCATTTCTGCCCAATAAAACTATTGATCTATAGATTGATTTACAGATCATTCGTGTTTCTGTCCTATATTTATTTGACATTAGGGCCTGTATAACTTAACTAAAATATTAACATTTTCTATATAGTTTTGTAACCATAAATCTTAACAGAAATCATTAAATTCACTTCTATTTGTCCCATTTGAGTCAAAATGTCTAAGTTGTTGCTGTTGAAGTGTAAATATTTTCTCCATCAGAAAAAAACACATTGTATCATAAAACAAAGGGTCTTTCTGTTTGAAACCTTTCAAAGAACACCATATGAATAAAATGGAAATGTGTATGTATATTTTTCTAATATGGATGTGTATCTTCAGTTTCAATTATGGCATGCCTTTAGACTCATGCTACCATTATCAGTAATCTTGACAGGGACGCCAGATTTTACATGGATCATAACAAAATGGGCTTACGTATGAAATCAGTCAATTGATGGTGAATAAATGCTAGAAAATATCAAATTCAACCAAATCATTTTGGTTTTTAATTTAAAATTGTGGTTCAAAAACTGTTATTGAAATGTGTCTAATAGAGATTGGTAATGATAATAATAATGAGAAAAAAAAAACATCTTAATTTAGGTTGTATTCTGATTTGGGATGTTTCCACAAGCAAGTTCTACCTGGACATTTGCATTCCGTTTTGTCTGTTTTACTGGGTAACTGTGAGATTGTTGCAAATTTTTTCATAAAAATCGTCAAAAAACAATGAGTTTATGCCGGTGCTACTCCTGTCTGCAGGTGATAATAGCTCTTACTTTTACTAGACTGCTGACTCAGTCCGTGACCAATGCGTTGAGTAAGAAAAAGTTTAATGTCATACGCAAATCTGTAACATTCTGTTCTCCATGAGAGTGGAGGAGCATTATTTTTGCACAATTTGCAATATGGTACCTTTGGTATGGTTTATTGGAGAAAAAAATGTAAAATCCCTTGCAGATGTTGCTAATGTAGTGCCACAATTTCGTTTGCAAAGAAATCAGAAAACAATTGCAAAACCTTGGCGGGACTGCCTGGGCTTTAAGAAGCTTCAAAACAGCTTCAGTTTGACGAGAGGCAAAAAACAAAGTTCTGGAAATGACTCGATATTTCTCCAACATGTGTCTGGTTTAGAAAGAGTGGTTCACTTTTTTCCTCCTTAGCAGAAAACCAAATTCAGCTGTTTGCCAAGTCATCAGTTTAAAACTAGTTATCACTCTTCTGAAAGCAACGCTATGAGAGTACGAGCAGCAGACTTGTAAAGCAGCTGACTGCAAGCTTTGCACTCGCAGATATCCTGACTTATGAACGAGCTAATATCTGCTTATTGGACTTCTAGTGTTACACAGCAGTGATTCAAAAGCACAAAAGACCCTAAAAGCTGTAAATCATCAAACTGCTGCTCCCACAATCCAGAGTTCAGTTTACCTCTTCTTTATTGATGCGGCCCGTGGCCTGCTAAAAAAAAACTCTTGACATCAGGATCTTTTATGAAAACATAACTCTTATACTGCGCAGCAGGACATTTACATGCTTGCTTTGGATGTGCAGATCAAAAGAGCCAAGAAAGAAAGAGAAGGAGAAGCATGGAGGACTGCCTCAGTGGATCTATGCAGTCACATGTGTCAGGAAGCACACAGATGGCTGGGCACTGCAGCAAATGCAGCAATAATGTGCTCGAGTCGCACCTAGTGCTAATCATATGTGAGCGAATTTGCTACGTCGCTAATCACAGATTAGCATAACAGCACGAAACGGCACAACGAGAGCCAGAGGGTCTCGGTGCCGTGGGTGTAAAAGTCTAGTTGCTTCAACTGGATCCCCATGACTTTAAGCGTGTCCCATCCGAATCACACTCCTTCCTTTCCCATTCCTGGTTAATTATCTCAGTGAACATCAGAGATGATTTATGGTCCTGGAGCCAAGTCTGGAGCCAATAAATGACCCCGGTACACTGGCAATTACTATTGTTCTCTTGTTGTGAAGCAACAATAAACGAGGCCAGGCTGGGGAGGAGTGTTAATTTCTCAGATATTTCTCACTACTCCTGTCTCTAAACCAGCTAAAATATAATCCTCATGTTTTTTTGTTTTGTGTTTTTTTTCGCCCTGTGGTTAATTAGATCCATCTCTGCCACTTGATCGTGTGTCATATGGCCTCCTGCTGGAATCAAAACCTTCCTTTGGTCTTCCTTAAGACTGGTTTTATTATGCTTTGATTTTGAGGAGTCTT